AGTGCACCGAGATGAAAACATGCATGCTTGCCACTGATGGTTGGTGCTTTTATAACTGCGTAATGCCATGTTTTTAGATGATCCCGTGCTTGCTAGCGGATCCTGATGCAACCAATGTATCTATGTAAGTAAAGTGGAATTTAAACAAAATGTCCAGCTATGGCTGCAGCCCCGGCTCTGACTTACACATCATAAGGCATCGTTTAGTAATGACTGTATGCTGAGGTAGACACGGGATAGACCGCAAAGACAAGTCGCTGATGAGATCAAAATGTTAAATTGATTGAATATAAAAGCAAAAAATATGTAGATAGTATAAATTAGAAAATATAATTCATCTCATGTGCGGTGAGAAAATAACCAAGTACCCAAAAGGAATGGACACCTGATTTTTTGTGCTACTGTCAATGCGCATGCGCATATGCGTGCTGCCAATCTAACACCCCTGCTTTGTGTTCACGCATGAAATGTGAAATGTTGAGAAGGCAAATATTTTTAAAAGGTGCCCCATGATTTTTGTGTAGCTAAAACGGCATCCATGAGACACCGTCAAGTAAGGAAACGAAATGCGTCGAAGTTGAAGACTGCGCATGTGGTATCATTCATTGTTCTTTAAATAACTAGTCCCCACGTCCAACAAAATAGGAAGCGCAGACTTGACAAGGCAGCCTTGGGAAAGACAATGCTGAGATACATATCATTTCACGATTTGCATGTACGTTGTTATCTAAACGCTAATGCCTCCTTCTCGACCTTGCGCCGAATTCTCTAGTCTATATTGCAGGGAGACTCGGATCTCATCAAACAATATGTCTGATTGTGCGAGAGCAGTAGCTTGAGAGTCTGATGAAGGACCATCCCTGCATCAGATGAGATCACGGGTCTACGATGCTTTTTCGGGATGAAGGTGCATGGCGGGTACAGATGGTGGCTCGTGCACTGATTCAGGCTGCTTTCAGTCACATAGAATCTTTTTTGTGAGATTCACTCAAGTATCGACTGGAACACAATGGCATCGACTGAAACACAAACACATTGCAATATCGGGCATTTCCTAGTCATTAGTTCCCCTCATGGACAAATACGGAATGTTGAAATTCGGTGTAAATTGTGATAAAAGCAATGGATAAGCTAACCGATAGGCCCTACATGTTGTGATTGGTCTAATGGGGCATTCACGACAGACATGGTGAAAACGCCCCATCCATCCTGTCTAAGCGCTAACTCAAATGATGTCAAAATAGCAGCAAGGTTTTCCAATACGTTGCAGGCGGTATGTGTGCATGGCTTTGGGAGGTACCAGCAGGCATTTCCTCGCCCTGTTTCTCAAGTACTCTGATAAGGGTGTTTTGTCACACAGTACCGCTTTAGAAAACAGTAGCCCGCGGTCAGTTTTGAAGTGTCATAGAGGATGTCATTGATACCGCCGCGCACATGGTGCATGACTTCCGGCAATGTTATGCTGTTTGTTGTCCTTGCCGTCGCCCTTGGTTCGAAAAGTAATGCAGAATGGTAGGTACCATTCATTTTGCGTGCGCATCATCACGCGCATGAGGTTTTGTGGTTTGTCTTTTCGATTACTTGGATTCAGAACAGCAACTCTTGAAAACTCTCACTGATTTCTTAGGTACCGCTATGGCACGACTCACTGTGATCCAGATACTGTTTTAGGCGCAGTAAGTCCAAAATTGGCTCACCACGGCGCGTGCACGCCTCAGACAATGTATTGATGACTTGCAGGGGATATCAAGGTATTCCTATTCATGAATAAATACTTCGCTCGAACTGCATCATGCCTATGACCGTGATTGTTTTCAGAGATGTTAGTTTCTTCACGCGCGCTCTCACTTAACCAAGAATGGTACGAGGAGCCTTGCACAAGACACCTTGCTAAACTTTTTCCGGGTATTTTGAAAGCACTTAATTCTGAAACTTTGTGGCGTGCTTCGAGCACGATCGCCACACTAACCTTGCTACGACTACAGCAAATTTTGCTCCCCTTCCCCTTTGAGCCAAGGGGTTTGCACTAGATGCTGAGCGAACTGCTAAAAATTCTGTCAAAAATCGCAGAAGCTGCGAGAAAATTTAAAACCGTTTCCTCGTCCGCCCACCGAGGAAAATTTCAGATCCATTGGCTTTCCCGCCAACCTCGTGACCTTTCGTGTAACTATTGGTCATTTTTTCTTAGACAAAATCTTAGCCTTCAGCTATCCACCCACTTAACTCCTTCCATTATTTTCAGTAATGAATTGGAGAACACGTACGAAAGGTTTGCAAGTGGACTTAAGAGTTTTGCCATTGTAAGCACGTTTAATAATATTTTGAAGCATTGGTCAAGAATCTAATGCAAATCTTCTAATGCTTGCTACTGCAACGCAACCACAATTTCACCAATAACTCTCACAGAATATTTATCCTAACCAGACCATCACCTCTTTCATGCCACTCCCCACGCTGCGCCGAAAATAAAGTAAAGCAAGTTATCAAACAACGCACATGCACATGGCGGAAATGAGTGCGTCAAAATTCGGAAAGAGCTTGAAAATAGCACAGTGAAAAATGCACTGTTTTGTAAAAAGCTAAAATTTGCATCAGGTCGTGGCTTGAAGATATTCTTAAAGAATGCGAAGGTCTTTGGCAGAGTTTCAGTTTCATGATTTAATGCTAATGGTTCTGGATTCTGACAAACATCCTGTTTGCATGGCCTCTCTTCAGTTTTCCCATCCGTGGTGAAGTATGCAAGGTTTTGCGATAGGATGCCCCAATGTCTGGTTTCTGCTCTGGTCACTTCATTGCACTATTTACCCAACACACATAGGGTCTATACCAGAGGCAGGGCCGCTCCGAATGTGAATGTGTTTACTTCTGCTGTGATATCTTGATATAATGATATTTTGTTTCCTGATAGTAACTATTGCTTCCCATCGATCTCGTTTTTAGTTTATGCTTACTCGTTTCATGATCGCATTCGTCTTTCAAACTTTAGTGCTCATCCACGGCCTTCGGTTACTGGTACTTAAAAAATCGGTCGCGCCTGGACTCAAAGCTCAGACACCCACCCTTTTCGTCCCAAGCAATCGTGAGATATCCTCCTCCCCATCCTCAAAAGAGGTTATTTCCCACGTCCCGTGCACCGGCTGTCTAGCGTAGACACTGCGAGTCACCACACCGTACAGCTGAGCAGGATTCACAGCTTACACACCAGGGATGCTGCGTGCCGATACTAACCACCGAGATTTGACTCCTTTTGCTCCTGCAAACGGAGGGAGTTTTACAGGTTTTCCCGGTATTTACACGCCATCATGCAGCCTCTCTGCGGCACAGCGTGCTGGCGCCAAGCAGCCACAGCTGCGGGTGGCAGTCGAGCTGGCGCCTGCACGTCGAACGTCGGTGCCGTCATACGGTTCACCACGTCATGTGTTTCACAGTTACGCGCTCACTTGTACGTCGCGATTTACCTCGTGCAAATCAATCACGAAAGCCCTCTTTTGCACTTCCACGTTTGCGTGCAATGCTGCGCTTGACTATAATTTGCAAAGTGCGGATAGAAGTTGCTGCATGCGATCCATTAATGTGGGTACAGGTGATGGCTCTTGCCTCTTTCTTTGATAGAAAGAAAAGATGATTCTTGGGATGAAATCTACTAACATAAATACAAAACATACAATAAGGCATTTGTTCTAGCTCCGAGAAAATTTGAGGTTTAAATCACCATAGCACTCCCTAAAAAATGCTCAGAACAGCAAAAAAATACTTTTGAAGAGATATAGCCCTTGGCCAATAACCTGTAGCACTTCAGTATAATATACGAAGCAGCGAACCTTAAGGCAAACATGCAAATACTTGAGGCAAATACCAATGTTGCCAACCCGCCCATTTCTGCACTGGCTTAACCTGCAATAAAAGGCATAAATTTTCGAAAGAATTTATGACGCAAAACTGGCATCTGCGTATCTGAGTATGTGTCACGGGTGTTACATCACCCTGAATACACCAGTCTCTTGGCAATGCCCCTAATGCTGATGCTGCTGTTGATGTGTTCTCATCTTCCGACCAGGAAACCACAAGACAGTTTAAAAAGGCCGTGTGTGTGGAATAATTTGGTATCCCTTTTTTGTCAACTGATGTCATAATGCTAACTCTCATCTTTCCCGACGCGCGAGACTGACCCTGCCTTCCTTTGTCCCCACGCCACTGTTTCTGGCGTTTCAGAACTCTCGAAGCGAGCTTGTTTCTGGCTCGGAGCCATATCCGACACCATCATGTCACCACTCACAAGCAAATGAGCGGAGGGCAAACGTTTGCCGGGGAGATATCTCGGAAAACCAGCCCTTCGCAATTTCCCGGATGATATTTTATTCAGTGCCTCGGGCCAAACCTCTCTTCAGCCAATTTAATCCGAGATTGGAGTGTATCTTTTCACAGTTACTGATGCCTGCATTTGTCGCCGGCCGCAGCAACTGTGCCAGATCCGCGTTACATGTAATTGGGCAATTTTCTGCCCACTCTCCTCACCACACATGCTCGCCGCCCGCCAGCCAATGGCAGACGAGCCGCTCGCCGACGGGCCAATCAGCGCGGCGGCCGGCGTCAGGCTCCGCCCCCCGAAGATGGAGCGTCGGCTGGGTCTGTAGCGGCGCCGCGGGAGATTTTATCGCAGTAATTGTCCGTCGTTTACGCCGATTAGGCGGTGAGCAGGTGCTGCGCGTGCGACACCGCACCCGAAGTACAGCCGCAGGCGCAGGCGACCGCACGCGAGGACCGTCCCTGCCGCGCCCAGCCACTCCTCGCGTCGGCGAGTCACCATGAGCGGCGAGCCCGAGCCACCGACCCCGCCAGCGGCGGCGGCGGCGGCCGGCGGCGATGCCGAGCCGGAGCGGGCGGCGGCCGGCTCGCCGATCGACCTGAGCCGCCTGCCAGAGCCGACCGAGCGCGGGCCGACCCCGCCCGAGGCGCAGCGGCTGCTGGAGGCGCGCCTCCTGGAGCAGAGCCGACGGCTGGCCGGCGCGCCGGCCGACCCGTTCCTCGGCCTCGCTGTCTCGCCGCTGCACAACAACAACAGCAAGACATCCTTCTACATCCGCGACATTCTGGACGGCCGCAAGTTCACCGGCCGGCGGGAGTTCCTGGACACGAGCAGCCCGGAACTGAGCGACACTCAGTCCACAGGTGAGCTGGCGCTGGTCCACACTCCGCATCATGCGAGTCCACACGACTAAGCGCGCCCAGGCAGACCTTGTTCACAGTGGAGACCCAGGCGTTTCGGCTTGTCTACACCGTTTCTGCCAACGTGCGAGAGTGCTTATAAGCGTGTGCAACAAATGTGGGCTGATTTTGTTCGCAGTGTACAGGTTTGCATTGCCCAAGCCGAGGTGGGCACGAATGAGCGTTTTCACATGTATCTGTCCGCTCTCAGTGTATAGGCTCTGTCCTCAGTCTACAGACTCTGTCCTCGGTCTACAACAGATTGTGTTCTCAGTCTACATATTCTGTCCTTAGTCTACTGTTCTCAGTCTACAGGCTATGTTCTCAGTCTTCAGATTCCGTTCTCAGTCTACTGTCCTCAGTCTACAGATATTGCTCTCAGTCTAGAACAGTCATGTCCTCTGGGCGCTGTCCGCAGTCCTGCAGATTAGATTGTGCACACTGGCAATCCCGCAGTTTCATGTTAAACCTGTCCACAGTGCGCGCCAATCCTCTGCAAAGTCCTGCCAGAACAAGTCGAGTTCTTGGTATAGAGCAGTCCTCAGTGCAAATGTTCGCTCCAACCATCGGTAGACCTCAAGTAAAATTACAAATACCCGCAGCGTCGCCGGAGTTCGTAGCAGCGAGCGATTTCGTCACAGTCACTTTCCGTCGCTTACGCCGCTTAACAGACGAGCAGGTGCCATGCACGCGACAACGCGCCCATGCCGCCAGCTGAACGCGGCGATCGCACGCGATTTTGCACTTGGCGGCAGGCATTTTACGCGCCCGACGGGCGTCCCTCCCATGCGAGCGGCGCCGATCCGTTTTCCATGTGAGATGTGAGATGTGAGATATGAGATGTGAGATGTGATGTGTGAGATGCGCTGGGTCATAAAACGCAGCGAATACCCAGACGGGCGTAATGGTACGCTATGAGACCAGGGCTGATGACATACGAGTCAGTGGCTCAACAAGCTCACTGACCAAAGTTTGGCCTTTGTAATGGACAGGATCGTTGCCCGAGCAGCCGGGCCGGTATCGCCGAATACTGAATGGTCTGCGATAAGAGCACACGCACTCGCATACACACGTACGGTCCGCGAACACATGCGCACACGCTCAGCATGGAGTATTCGCCGAGCGAGAATTGTTTTCGTGTTGGAGCCAGTTATCTGTGCTGGGCAGCCTATGGCCTTGTCCGCTTGTTAACGTCTGAATCAATCAATTGAGCGTAGTGATCGCGTCTTGCATCACGTTTTCCTTTGGCTCAGAGACTTGCCAGCCGGGTGCAAACAGTTTAAAGCTGAGGGTTATTTTAAGGAGGAATGTTCTTGTGATCCTGAAAAGTACAGCTGCCTCCATTTTTGCTCTGAAGACCCCAGCGCGTACATAGAATGCCAACCGTGCATATGTGCAAATTTTTATGGTTTCGCCGCGGTTGATCAGTTTTTGGCACACGTCTTCAGAGCTTTAGAGATGTATACGCAGTACGGAGATTATCCAGACGGTTTATTTCGATGTCTAAAAGCGTTATTCCCCTTGAGTATAAGATGATTCGAATTGTGGTGGTATAATACTGCTCGTTCGGTGCTTTGTCAGCTAGGTAACTCATGCAGCACAGCAGCGGTAACTCATGTTTCAATGCTGTTTTTCAGCTTCCGTTGGGTCAGCCATGTATCTTTGACTTCTAGCATTGTAAAATTGCTTAAGCTATGTACCACGTGAGCAATTTCAACAAACGGATGCCTCAAGCCGCATCATGAGAAAACATAAGCATGTAACGCCCAAGGATGTCTGGGTTTCAGAAAGCATGTTTTGGGCGCTTTCGGAAAACTGTTTGGCACAGTGGTCCACTGTCGCCCTCACATCCATCCGTCTACAATTAATTCATTACGATCACGTTACACTTAAGAACGGATAGGAGGACTGAGGCAAAAATCACACGCTAACTTTATATCGGGATGCTAAATGAACTTCGGAATATATTGAGACCACGTAGACTCGTCTCGAGGCTCATGCTGGCGCCGGATGCAGGGGGGACGAACAGGTCATGCCCTCAGCCCGATCGCCCGGGCTTGCAATGGCGTAAAAAAGAAGGTTTTAAAGCAGAGGTTCTTTGTTTCCTTCTCACGCGTACAGACCGCTTCTCTAAAAAGACCATGGCTGGATCCGCCTCTGTTTCATAGCTCAAACGTAAAAGGGCGCTATTCGGTGTCATGGCTTTTTTCCTGTAGCATATGTCCCATCCGGCCTTCGTCCTTTTGTACACAACGCAAATTTCATTTAACCATGCATCAAACTGGTACCGATGAATCCAGCACCACTAGCGTCTCAATAGAGAGAGGGAAGTATTTGGCTCTCGCTATAAGACCTGATGCATTCGAGCCTTGCTTTTTTGGCCTTTTCTAAACAAGTTTTTAATCGATATGTAAGATGCAGTTTTCAAGGCTGTAAGCAAAGCGGAGATGCAGTTCTGAAGGCTGTAAGCAAAGAGGAGAAGCGTTTCTGCGAGGCCGATATGGCTCATGATTCAGGCACTGCGTAGAGGCGACTGCGCTCATGCCGTTACCACTCCTTTGACCCACTTGCTCACCGTAGCTCACCTTTCCAGACACGCTTTGCGACGTCTCGCCGGCCGACGGCGACGGTGACGGCGACGGCGACGGCGACGACGCGGACGCAGACAGCGAGGCGCGACCATCGAAGAAGAAGTGCGCGTCCGACTCCAAGGGCGGAAAGCCGCGACGCGCGCGTACCGCCTTCACGTACGAGCAGCTGGTGTCGCTGGAGAACAAGTTCAAGCAGACGCGCTACCTCTCCGTGTGCGAGCGGCTCAACCTGGCGCTCTCCCTCAACCTGACCGAGACGCAGGTGAAGATCTGGTTCCAGAACCGGCGCACCAAGTGGAAGAAGCAGAACCCGGGCGTGGACGTCAACAGCCCGACGGTGGGTCCGTCGCCGCCGTTCCCGCCGTTCTCGTCACCGTCGCTGCTGTACCCGACCGGCGCGCAGCTGCACAGCTTCCCCGGGCTCGGTCTGCCCTGCGTGCTGCCGCACGGGCTCGCTTCCCACCCCTTCTACTCGCACATCAACCGCTGACGCGTCGACTCAGGCGCGCCGTATGACAATGCAGATGCGGCTCCGGGGGCCTTGCGTGGCGCCGGGATTCGGGGGAGGGTGGATTCGCGAGGCAGGCAGTCCACGCGTCTGTTTGCGATCGTTCCGCGGCGTCTATATCAGCGTTTGCACTGGCTTCTTCGTCATGCCGCTCCGCAGTGCGCTCGCGTGTACGCCAGGGTTCGGTCCTCGGTCCGCTGTTTTTTGTGATTTGGGGAACTGACGCCTCCGTGGCTCTTTTGCTGTTTTGAGAGTGCAATAGCTGCGCACTAGAGCGTGGCGCCGAACTTGGCCCTGTCTATGGCTCCAATCCGGATCAGATCCTCCGGCCATTTCGACAGTTAGAGGAAGGCGTCACGTCACGTTTGCTGTCACGTGCGACCCCTGCTGAGACAGTGAGTGATATGGATGAGGCCTGGGTGCGCCACATATAGTTAGTCTAGTTGTCCATTTTATGTGCATACCTAAGACATCATATAGGACTAAATGATGAGTGTTAAATTTTATATCTGTTGTTACATTGTTTGCATGATGTATCGTGTAAAAATAAATGAATCACGGTGTTGTTCACATATAGCGCGTCTGACGGAATGCGTAACCTAGCAGCTGGTGTGGGCGGGCTTCGTGCTTAACCACAGGTAGTGACAAAGCATTTCACTTAAAAAAGTGCATTGTGACCTTTGCTGCTTTCCACGCAGCATTGAAGAAGATATTTTCCAGTGCTGCAATCAGTGAGGCAAAACTGGAACCCTTGCCTCGCAGAATTGAGTCGTGGAGGGTCTGCACCGTTTGAACGCCATTGTCCATCACCTTGATCTCCGGCGAGGGCGGAAGCTGTAACGGGCTGTTGCATCACTGAAGTAACATTATTTTTACTAGCTTTACGCAGCAAATGACGTTAGCAGATAGCACAGTCAATGCCAGTCTGAATGAAAAAATGAAAGCAGAACCTAACAGGGGAGGCATAACAAGTTGTAATCACTGTTCCAAAAGCACACGGCTTTCAGAAACTAACCATTCTGTAGTTTGACGGCAGCCATCAGCAGAGCTCCAGGAAGGGATCGCTGGTAGCTGGCCAACACCCACGGGGCAAAGCACCCGGAACGCGTTGCCACCTCATCACGCGCACGCACGCACGTGCGTATATATATATATATATATATATATATATATATATATATATGCAGGAACATATATACGCACGCACGTGCGTATATATATATATATATATATATATATATATATATATATATATATATATATATGCAGGAACATCGGCCAAGGACGACGTGGGCGATCATTTTTCCTCCTTGTAGCTTTCGTGAGCTTCACCTCGACCGGTCTCGCTCGGTCACCAGGTGCAGCTTGGCTCCCTGAAATGGCGCCATTCAGGGCCCCGACCGAGGTGGTCATGCTGCACAGAGCCGGCTGCCAGCAACAGACTTCGTCTGGTAGACCGTTCGTACGGCGTGGCGTGCCCTGAGGCCTGCAAAAACGCCGTTCACAGAAGGCGGCGAAGACTTCGGCGGCCCTGAGCAAGAAACACCCACTGTTTTGGGGGTGATAATGACGGGAAAAAGGCGCTGAGGTGACAGCAGTGCCGAAGACGTCGGTGCGATGAGCGCCACTATCGGCCGTGGGAAGACGTGTCTTAATGAAGCGATTAGCCTGCGTCTCTAGTTGAATGGCGATCAGTCCTGCACACACATGCCCACGTCCACTGAAGGAGAATGTCTGTGTGTCGCACCAGAGACAAGGATGGAACCACACGCCGATTTCCCTGGATTTTGAGAAAAGTGGGGCTCTATCCCATTTTTGTTTTATATTAGATGTTTTAGTTGAGGTTTGTGGGGAGTCTAAGTAAAAAGAAAACGGGGAATAGCCTATTTCTAGTGTCCCAATTCTTCGCATTGGCTCCGTTCTCGCTTATATGTTTTGCGTAACCTGAACCGCAGACAGACGTGAGATATGTTCATTTGTGTCCATGTATGAACGAATCATTACATGTGCATGGGTTGTTGAGCTGTTCGAGTCATATTACATGCACATTCCAGGAAAAAAACACGGAACTTATACGCAACTACAAAGCAAGCAAAACACCACAAACCCTCAGAGTAAATCAGGTATAGTCAAGAAAGCTTGTCAAGATGTGAAACATAGACTGCTTGGATTCAAGAGCCAGCGATGGTTGGTATTTTTACCCCCAATATTTGCAGATTTCGGCATAACGCCTATGGTGTTGTATAAAAAACACATCTAAACCACCGCAATGCCCCTCTCCAAACACTTGTGTCGTGACGAGCCAAATGAATTCTTGGAATTTTTCGTGAGGATTGCGTCTTAGTTCAGGCACCCTCGCTGTTTCGGAACCCCAGCGCTTAGCGTGAGTTTGGAGCGCTCGGCTCAGACACAAGTGTGGGACCCTGACCCCTCCAACCGAGCAAAATCCTGCGTCTCTGATCAAAACATCGTGATGTATGATAATGGTCTCGGCCATGGTGGCCATATACAATAACTCTCGCCTTGCTTGCCTTCCGCACGGGTGAGCGTGCTGGTAACTGCTGGATCCACGCTTTTCGTTCTGCGGATGAGGTTGGGGGAGGCTAGTCAACCTGGCTTGCGGGAGGATGGACAACTGCCTCCTCTCTACAGTGCGGCCCCAGTGTGGTGTGACTGAGTCTCTCAGATGGCTCTTGACGAGAACCGACCCAGAGACCAGAGGGCTGGTGCAATTATTATGTAGGGATTGGTGAGGCGACCACGTATATTACATGTATGTAGTGTGCACGTACGTGGCTGCTTGTTCTTCCATTATATATTGTCCGGTAGGAAGTTGAATAAATGATGATGATGATAAGCCTTGGGCATTGGTGGAGCTTCCCATACGTATGGAAGACTAGTCCCTCTCCATGTGTCTGGGCTTTCCGCAGGGCATAGGGACGGTCCATACAAATCGTAAGGTGCCCCAAATAATTCTATCAGAGTCCCATCTCCGGCCTCGGCAATTGCGGAACTAATGCGCTCCAACTCACAGCCACTATGTCAGGTAGCCTACAGGCGTGGAACGTTAACTTTCCGCACTGTTTTCGAAATATCAGCTGTGTCTAGAATCGAGTGGTGCTTTGGAATCGGATGCTAATAGCAAGTGCGCTCTTATCTGCAGCACTTTCGGAAACTTGTAGCAAGCGAAATGATACTTAGTGAATGAGCGAAGTAGCTGAACAGTGTGCACGAAATATTTCCAGAAGCCTTTGGCATACAATGCATCCGTCTATCGTCTCCTAAGCTAGCAGGATCTACCACACGACTAACTGATGGCATGACTCAATTACATGGCTCCGCTGCACGGCCGAAGCACCGATATATTCGGAGCGGTGTTTTGTCGCATGCCACCGCTTAATCAAGCAAGGGCCGGCATGCCTAAGCAAATGCTAGTTAAGCGTAAGTTAGGCATGATGTTAGTTGATATTTCCTGTCTCAGTGTAAAGCCTTCTGTCATTGTATTCTGTCAACAAATCCGCCGAGTCCAAAATAAATCCACTTACATGGTCTGCCGTTGAGCGTCCAATAATAAAAGAGATGTGTCAAGTTGCACAGAAACGATATTACATTCTTCTCCCACATACAAACTTCATCGCCGTTTGAAGTTTTAATAGGTGCTGTTTTCAAGCTCGTGAAGAGTCAGCGTCCACCTGTATATTTTTAGACGATGCTAAAGGAATAGAACATGGCGCCCATTTTAGACCCGGTAAGACTGTGGTGTAGGTAACTGTGAAAACTCGGTTTTATATACCTATCCATAAGAAGGCCAAGACTCCAGGCAATTCATTATCATTTATGTGTTGGGATTCGGTGGTTATCCCAAGAATTCTGACGCTCCTCGTCTGGGAAAATGCGGTGAACGTGTTCCTGACAGGTCGTAAGAGCTGCATACATCAGCGACAGAATCTCAGTGAAGAAAATTAGGAACGGAATGAGTTAACATCACTCTGCACTCTTGGCAACAGGGTGACGCAATTAGATAACGGATAGTATTGCGCAGGATTTCAAAAGAATATAGTGGGGTCGAAAATGAAGCGACGAAATTACCAGTTCCAGTGCAACAAAGACTGAAAAACAAAATGCGTTCCGAACTGACAAACAAACGCAATTTAAGAAACCGTACTGACGTGTTTTCAATTGGCTTGTATGCCTCGAGTCATTGAGCGCTCAGCTTTCAGGTGATGTGTCTGACCTTTATTTTACGTGGCAGTAGGTCCTACAAAACCGTGGTAAGCCTTTATGAGATTGACATACTTTGGGTTGAAAAGTCTAGTCTAAAATATGTAGCGCAATCAGCTGGAATCTAAATGTAATCATCGGCATCTCACGTCAGCCAATAAATCATTGATATAATTAATAGAGTGGACAGCGAGCCAAAGCTGCCAGAGGCTGATGGCGGCATGCGAAAAATCGCACAGTACCCATTTTAGCCATCCGTGAACTTAATTTGAAAGGACTCGAGTTTCTGGCCGGCCCCGTGCGTCTACGATGCGGACGACAAAGACCCCGCTCAGAGGCCGGTGGCGTGCCCGGCTCCCAACTCATGTGCCCTGGATGTCTTGCGACGCCCCGCAGCCGTGGCCACTCCGCCGCCGCGGCCTCAACACCTGGCCCCGGGCGCGCTCTCGCCGGCGGCCGTTGGACCTCTGACCCCGTCGCCAGGTCGGCGCTCTAATGAAGCGGCAGCGCGGCAGAGCGCGCGCGGCGGCCGGGCGGCGCGGCGCATTGATGTCGGCCAATTTGTAGACTGTCCTCCTCTTCCTGCCTCGATGATGTATGGCTGCCGGAGGCACATGCGCCCGCTGATGAGCTCGTTCCGCGCGGCTCTGTCACCCGGCCAAGACTAATTATTTTCATCGCCCAGAAAAACGCCGTCTAATTATCAGAAAAAATGGCGTCGGCCGGCGCCCAGATGGCGGCCCGCCATCAAATCTCCCCCAATAATGGCCTTGCGCCCGACCGAGCCGCGCCACTATTGAATGTCAATTACATCTAACACCCGAGTAATCCCCCGCGATCCCCCGGGAGCGATTTGTTACCCAGGAGCTTGTTATACAGAGTTTGTCCTAATTGAATTTTCGATTTCTTGAGCATCCAAATGACGCACCGGGGGCGCGTTCGGCGCGCTCCGTAACAGGGGGCTGTCGAGCGGATAAAAGGCGCGCGCTGCCGGCGGCCGCCGCCGCCAAAATACGAGCGCCCGTCGGCGGCGACGGGCGTCGGCCGGGGAGTCGGCGATCAGGTGTGCGGTGAAGGCGCGGCCACCGCGCTGGCCAGCGTTGGAGGGGGCTGCAGGGCGGCTCAATGTCAACCCAGGCTTCGCTTTTAGACGTTTTGTAAAATATGGTGATGAAATGCACCAGATCGGCGTAGGAGACTGAGGTCCGGGCGTTACGGTACTCAGGGCTGTGTTTGCTTCTTTTTTTTGCTGTTTGATTGAGGAAGATGTCGACACTTATTGAGGTTCAAATATCCCTTCTGCTTTCTTTTTATGTCCACAAGTGAATCAAGGTTATAACAAATATTGGGT